TAAGGCAGCAGGGGGGCAAGCAGCAGTTGCAACTACATGTTAGGGCTGGGCCTGAGGCCAGAGCCAAGGCCAGGGCTGGAGCTGCAGCAGCTGTCTGCACCCCCCGCCTTGTACTTGAATCCAAGATAAGTGGCTTCCCCTCCCCCCGCAAGTTAAATGGGGAAAAGGACCTCTTATTGGGGAAATGGGACCTCGAGTAAATACAGTATACCAAGAAATCAATTACTAATCATTTGCAAGTTCAAAATCTTTTCATTTGTACTTTCATCATTATGTCTCTGCGCAGAATATAAATCAGATAAAGAACTCACTACTAGCTATTAGCAGGACAGTAAACAAATTGCCACTCTCTAAAAGTGATCTTGAGAAAGATGAAGCTCATCCAGTGAGGCATTTATGGTGATATTTATATAACCAGGAAAATCACATCAAAACAAGAAGTCCCAGATTTCGGTTTCAGTAAATTGAAATTAAGTTTTCTGAGAACAACCTCAAAGAGAGAGCAGAATTATGTCTCCAAATGAGGTTTATGTAGGAAGAAAACAGTATTTTAGAAAACCTGCAACCATAAGGAAAATAATCGATTGTCTCAGAGGCATAAAAAAATATGCACTTGCTAAAATATATACTAATCATCTAGGTATAGAAAACTGTAAACAAGGAACAGGGGATATCTTGTCTTGAACTGAGATTAATGCATCTATAGCTGATATAATTGCATGACACAACTGCTTTAGACAAAAAAGCCTGCTGTTGTATAGTCACAGGCAAAATAATGGAATCATAGAAAATTAGGGTTGGAACAGCCCTCAGGAAGTCATCCAGTCCAACCACCTGCTCAAACAGGACCATCCCCAACTAGAGCATCCCAGCCAAAGCTTTGTTTAGCCAGATCTTGAAAACCTCCACAAATGGAGATTGCACCACTTCTCTGGGTAACCTGTTTCAGTGTTTTACTACCCTCCTAAAGAGGAATTTGATAAAAAAAATCTACAGTAAAAGCTGCCTTAACTGGCACCTTACAAGCCAGCATGCTCTATTAACTGGCATGCTGGCTTTTAAGGTAAAAGCAAAACCGGAAGTGCCCACCGGCACCGGCCGGGGGCAAAGCAGCATATGCCTGGGGCATAGCAGCCTGCGCAGGGCCCCTCTCACTGTCCCATGGGGCCTGCAGGAGGGTCAGCAATGCCCCGCAGCGGGAGAGGCGGCAGCCCAAACAGGCAAAGATGCCTGTTCAGGCCAATTAGTTAACCAGAGTATTTTGTTATCCAGCACCCCTCATTCCCCATGGGTGCTGGATAACAAAGCTTTTGCTGTATTTCCTGTTTTTAATCATTACTCTAAGTGCATTGGGATTTCAAAAATAACAAATGTATATATACATTATATATATATAGCCCTTGCCGTAACAAATATATATAAAAATAACAAATTATAATATTCTCTGCCTTACCAACTGTAATAAGATATATATAGAAATAATAATTAAATCTTATATATAAAAGATAACTGTAATCATATACATATATACACTTATACATACACACACACAAGATTACAGTTGGCAAGGCAGAGAATACTAGAGGCCTGATTACAAACTATAGCAGGGACAGGGGTAAGGGGTTCCTTAATGAATTTTGGTGAGTTGTCAAGGATCACATGGGTAGCCCCATCCCTTGACAGATGCCCCACTCCTGGTTCCCATCTTGGGACCAGAAGTCCCACCCCTAGCCCCTGACCTTTGCCACCAGAAGTCCCTCCACTTGCCCCCTGGAAATACCTTTTTTTTAGAGGGGGGATTACCATCTTAGAACCAGAAAAAACCAAATCATACACTAAAAGTCAAACACCTATTACAACGTATTTGAATTTTAGTACAAAAAAATATTGTCATGATTTGTGTTTATGTAGTGTATATAAAGGTGATTGCATAATAACTCAAATTCTTAGTCTTATATATTGTGCGTATGGTGGGCTGTATGGTGGGGTGTTGGGGTGTGTGTGTGTGTGTGTGTTTGTTTATGGTGGGGTATTGGGGGTGTGGCTGTGTGTGTATGTGTGTGGGCATAGGGTATGTTGGGGGAAGTCCCAGGCACTGGAATTGGCTGCCTTCCCTGCCCAGGGGAAGGTGCCTGAAGCTTCCCTCCTGTGCCTGGCAAGCGTGGGGAGCACTGGTGATACAGAGTGTCTGGCGGAGGCTGCACCACTCACTGTGATGTGCTGTGCTGGCCAGAGCCGCGCTCCACTGGGCATGAGCATCCTGAGCGCCCCTGCCTGGCCAGCTGCTGCTGCCACCACCACCTGTCGGGGCTATGTACCATGTGGGGAGTGTGTGTGGGCCCCCTCCCTCCCTCTGACCCACACCATGCCCACCTGAGCTCCATGTTCCCACTGCCTCCCTGGATGTGGGCCCTGCACTGCCACCAGACCCAGCTCCATGCTCCCACTCAGCTGCAGCTTCACCCCTGCTGCTTTCCTATCTGCAGCCCGGAGCCAGCAGGAGATGGGGGAAGTGGAGAAGGTCCCCAGAGTTGCAGCAGTGGCAGTGGCAGCCTTGCCTGGAAGCTGTGTGCTGGTCAGACCAGGCCCTTCTGCTCACAAGGGATGGAAACAAGGCACAATAGGGTATGTTTGGGGCAGGGGTGTACATGTGGGTGCTTTGCTCTCACCCTCATGGACAGAAGGGCTGGGTGGGGCCCAATTTGTTGGTGGGTGACACAGGCTGGATAAGAGTGCTTGGCACGCCAGATTTAGTCTGCGGGCCATATTTTGCCAGCCCCTGAACTATGGGCCATCAAGTACAAGGTTTTCAGGGATTTGTGAAGGACTCCCCTTTGAACATACTTCTTCCTTGTCAAAGCAACCCCATATTAACACGATATGCAAAAGCAATAGAGTGAAAAACTTCTTAAAGCAATCTAGATGTGACAGATACCTACCCATCCCTGCTGAGTTCTGGAACTCCACTGTGAGAAGGACTGCCTCCTCAGCAGAGTATAATGGTGGTCAGATAAACAAGGACTTGAAGTTGGTCAAAGACTGAGTTATTTGAGACCTAAGCTGCTACCCATCATGCAACTAAAACCATCAGAAAGAGAAATGAACTAAAAATTTCACTGAGACATTTATACTACTGGTTGGTCTAAAATGAAAGCTGGCAGCTAGTCCACTTCTGACTGAACCACTGCATTGGGAGAGGAGTGAAAACTGTTGCAGCACAATTCCAGATATGTTGTGAAAAGGGACAAGCAAAACTGGTTGCCATGATCATTGATTTTCTTGAGATACCTGAGGCATCCCAGCTACCCGCAGTACGGCAGAGACAATGAAAGGGAAACTTGGTATTTTTTAATTTAATGTGAATTACCCACAATGGGAAAAATATGTCCTCAACAGAAAGATACGGGGACAAATTGTGAGAATGGCCCTGGACTCCAGGGTTACAGGGCCAGGACAGAGGAGAGGTGAATTTCCAAGCAACAGGCGAGTATGCAAGGGGATCTACCTGCAAATTGGTGAATGAATGCAGACAGAGTTACTGTTGAGATCATCAAGTACTGAGATTTCACAGATAGCAGCACAAACAAAACCGCCCACTGCTAAGTAGCATTACAACATAAAGGCACAATGTGTCGTGTTGTTAGTGGCCATGTCTTAAGAAAAATCTATCGGATGCTGATAGGACCTTGTTACACCTTAAGTGATTTTGAGAAGCATGTCCAAATGCAATGTCAAACTTCTCTCACAGGGGGCTTAAAGTAGCTAAAAAAGGAGATGCACAGACAACGGTGGTTATTCTAATGGGATAACATGATATTATATAAAAAGAACTATATTGATACTTGTGGTAAATCTCAGGGTTCATCACACCTGATCTAAGATCACACAACTTACTTTAAGCCATGTGTTCAAAGATTAGCTTCAGCTTGTGCACATTTGCCAGTGCCAGGTGTTGCACTGGGAACTTAATCCAAGTAAATCGGGGTGGGGGGATCATTGCGGGGGGCCCATCCGGGGATTGAGAAGGGATCGAGGGGGCTAAAAATAGCCCAGTCAGGGTTGGGAGGATAAGAAGAGCACAGCCCCAGGGCTCCACTCTGAACGTGTATGGGCATTTGTTAGAAGTTTATCTCCTGAGGTGAATTAAGTTAAGTAGAGCCAACCATTTTTGCCTGATCTAACCTCCTCAAATGTCTGTACAAATCAGCATGTGAATCGACCAAACTCTAATTAGGTCGATCTAAGTATAATGTCTGCACATACCCTCAAAGCACCATTCCAGTCCATGCCACGTCATCAAGTCAATGGAAATGCTGTTGTCTTCTTTGACAAATTCACCCTTTGTAGCATCATGCTGGATCAATGAAATGAGACTCCCCACCCAACTGTACCTCCATATCTGCAAGAAGCAGTATGGCAATTCACAAGGTGACACTTTTCCCCTGAGTCAGTAATGAATCAAGGCCCCAGCACGATGGTAAAGGAGCACTATAAATGCCATCTTTTATATGAAACACCAATAATAAATCCACAACCATTGGTAGTTATGAAAACTTCCTCCAGTTTTCAGAAGGAGAGGGATATTAACTAGTGTCTGAGCCAAATTCTAGATCTAAGTGTTGCAGTTAGAATGCCAGCAGTGTCCTTGTCATTTTAACTGTCTAACAGTTTCCTCTCAACTTCATCTCCTAAAAGTGTATCATGTTGTTATGCATGCACAGTTAAACAGTTGCAACTGTTTACCTCAGATGTGTCTAACAAACTGAGATGGATGAAATGATCCTTGTTTAAAGATGATTTAATATTTAATTTAAAATTGCATATGCTCCAGGATACTTTGGGATGAAAAGTATTAATAAACCTAACATATCTTAGTAGCTACACTTCTACAAACCAAAATGCTAGGCTACAGCATTGGTTTTTGCCTATTCTGCATTTGTACATGCTACAATTTATTGGAGAACATATGGATTTGCATTTATTTTTAAGGTCATCAGTACCTTGTAAGAGGTGGGGATGAAGAGGCTGGTGAGCTGTAAGAACTGCTGTCATCTCATCATGGTCAGAAGGATGTATATATTCATAAATGCTATTTCCAGTAAGCTCCACCTGTGAAAAAACAGTAGAAAACATTAGAAAGTACATCTAGAATTTTTCTTGTATTATAAGGCAGTCTTCAGTGACCTGCATATTCTATATCTGTCCCCTGCACACTGTCCATTATACTTTATAATACAATTTTAAGTTTTTTAATATACTCCAAAGTTTAAGTTGTTTATAACATAGCCCAAATTAGCCCTGTTAAACTGAATCATTTCTTCCTCAGTGACAAGTATTTTCAGGGATTTTGTGAGCATTTCTGATGTCATGCTGGACACAGGGGAGTCACAAGTGGAGACAGCTGGCAAGTGAACAGATTAAACAACACAGCCCTACAAATATGAGATAGCTGCAAAAAGGGGGAGAAAATATCTCCATAAGCAGTATTAAATTTTCAAAGCATCACAGGAGATAAAAACATTAACATGTAAATGTTTCCAGAAACCATCAACCAGGTTCCATCATCATCTGTGCTTTAACAGCCAAGCCACCCCATTGGTATATCCTTTGACTTTTGACTAATACCATCCAAAATATAATCAAACTCTTATTTAGGGTTGAATTTAGAGGATATACTCCCACTGATCTCAATAGGCACTGAATCCCACTTCAAGCGAATGTGCAGTATAATGTAGTACATCAGTTCGGCAGTGTCTTAAATTTCAGCAATATACTGTATTTCTGTTTCTCACTCAGTCCGAACCTCTGTTCATGCATGGATGTACGTATTCCTCCCTTTCTAGATACCATGCACATAATAAAAACATAAAAAGTGGAACGTGCTATTATAAGCTAGCAAGTACCCTATGTCCTTTTGCTAACTCTGTTTGGCACTTGTAAAAATGCAGCAACAAAAAGTCTCCAGATAGATGCAGTAATTGATTTAAGTAGAGACCCAATACTTTGAGCCTGTGTTTTAAATTAGTGTCAGGCTGCCCAATTGTTCAATGTAGCCTGATGTGCATTGGGCCCCAAAGATCAGACACAGCGGAGATTTGAAGTAATTTAACCTATTCTTCTGGGCCAATCCAACTGATTTGCTAAGATGTGCAAGTTGCCTTTTCTTTGGAATAAATGAAGTTGTCTCACCCACAAAGCAATCTTTTCCTGAAAATGTCTCTCATAGTTCCATTTTCTGCATTATTCATGAAATGTTTCTTCCCAGCACTAGACAAACTAATTCTTTCTAGTCATCTATTCCCCCACTGTTCCCTTCCACTCCTCCCTGCAAAATCAAAAGCATTGGTACTTATTTGATATTGCAAACAAACATTTGCTTATTTCTTTAAATAAAGTTTCATAGCATATGAAAAGCAAAGATACAAAATTAGCAATGTTAATTTGTTTAAATCATTTCCCAATGAGTAACATTTAAGAATTCTTGACTGTTCCTCTTCAGCATTGTAACAGGTGGGCACAGCAATGTTAGTTCATTATGTTTTAAGTTCTGCATCTGGGAGAAGGTTAAGAGTTCAGAAGAATGCATTGTTCTGTGACTCATGTTTTTTTAAATAATATTTGGGCAGAAGTAGCATTTCTTCACAGCCATCTTCATGACTGTCATAAACATACACAGGCATATACCATTAAGATTCTTGAAAAAGCAAATTCACCACGTATTAGATATTGTGTATTGCACTGCTCTAAACCGTAAAAGCAGTCCGACCTTAAAATGAATTTTATCCTTAGTCCATAATGTTTCAGAAGAGCATTTTTTGCCTGTGAAATAAACCCGATTGGACTGAACAATATTGCTTAAAAAATGTCATAGGGGAGGATGTTTTCAGGCCAACTTCCTCCATTTTAAAGGCTTTCCTCCGTTCACTGTCCAGCAAAACTAAAGACCAATTAGGATAATCCAAAAGACCCTTATTACATCTTTAGTCTTACTGAGTACAGTCATAATCCTAGACTTGAGTCAAATACTTAAAAAATAGAGCTCATATGAATATCTCTTACTTTTGCAAAAGTACCTCTATTGATATAAACAAAACTGCAGACAGGAGTAGGGACTAATCACAGAAGGATTTGCAGAATTGGGCTTCTGGTCACAATTTTAATCGCACTATAATTTAGATTTTATTTTAAAAAATAGTAATAAAATGTTTTATTGAACTAATAATTAGTTTTCTTTTACCATCCATAGGGAGATTAATTTTACTCTTACTTGTGTGCGGTGCTGGTGAAACCAGTTAGATTACACATATATTACTAAGGGCAAAATTTGGCTTATTGATTGCAAAATGAATGTAGGAAAACTAAAGCCATCTGAGAAAATTGAGAGCTAAACAATACTCAAATAACCAAAAAATTTGGAATTAATATTTGAACTGACCACAGCCTCCTGTTGTGCACATTGCATATATACTTTCTAAACCCACAATACAATACTGAACACTTAAAAATAAATTACTGGTTGAATCCATAAAACTTCTATGATCTCATGCATGCAGCTTATTAAATCAGCCCCTTGGATACAGGATTTTTATATCTGTAAATACCTACTTACTACCAAATTTATTTATTTCCTACTAAAAGCTTTTTTATGTGTAACTCAGCTGTATATCTTCCTGCCAAGAAATGTTTCATAATAAACCGAGGACTAAGTAAGTGGATTCTGCATAAAATAGTTACATATTTTGTTGAACGAAAGTAAGTTTCAAATGTTTTCAGTTCAATATTCAAAGATCTGTGAAAAAAATCAAAGATAAGCTTCTCTCTCTAATGAAATGGGGAAATAGCTAGGAAGCAGGTCTAAACTTTAAAATGATCAAATTATTTTTCAAAATTGTTGTCTAATTCTTTTTTAAAGGCTTTTCCCTCAATGCTGCAAAACGTGGACAGCAATGTCTGTGTGTACATATTTACAACTACTAAACTGCATAGCTTATTTCATATTATCAACTTTTCAGCTGATGTGCCCATAGAAATAAATAAGGGATTTACTCAAAGGATTGTTAGATAACATTCACATAGGCCACTTGTAATGTGTGAGACATGCCCCTACATTTGCAGACATGTGATGTGTATTTATAGAACCTTCCATTACGAAATGCTAACACACAAATCAAAGGTTCATGAAATAAAATCAATATAAATCTAAAAGTTTAAAAAAAGAACTTCATCAGGGAATTCAGTCCATTTATTATTCAGGGAAAAAGGAGATATAGGATCAGCTTTTCAGCTGGTAAAAATCAATGGCGCTATGTTAAAATCAGTGGAGCTATGCTGATTTACACAAGATGAGAGTCTGATCTGCAGCATTTACTATTCTAATTGGCAGGGTAACCCCAAATCTGGCTTCTATTTTCACAATGATAGGACTTCTAAAAAAATACTGTTTCTGGTATTTTTGCAAGAAAATACATCAAGGACACAGACTTAATGGAGAAAAATAAGAGTTGTATAAGATGGTGTAAGTTTTGCACTGTTCTCTCTGCTGAAGCTAAAATCAAGATCAGCTGAAACTATCAGAGGACTCCAAGAATTATCTTGTAAATGTTTTTAAAGGCATTTTAAGTGTAGTACAAATAGCTTTTAAACAAATTGCACTTTAACTGGAAAACAATTTGTAGAATAGTAATTGTCAAAATGTTTTTAAAAATGGTCTTTTTACAAAAATTCTAAGAGGTTTTAGAAAATCATCATCAATAACTCAGAGCACTCCAGCCAATCCAAGCTGAGCCTACACTCAGATGTAAGAGTTCTTGTTGAAAATACAGTGTAGGATTATGACTGGATAAGGAAAAATTGCAGAATTTGCTGCTAGGGGCTAATCCCACTATTATTGGTATCAATGGCAAAATTCCTTGCGACTTCAAGGGAAGCAAGAACAGGAACTCATTTAGCACAGACCTTTTAAAAAATAAACCCCTGAGATCCATGTAGATCTGTCCTAGGATTAAAGTATCTAAAAGAAAACTGTACCTTAAAAATAATAATAAAAAATGTAGAGAGTGGGAAAATATGTCATGATATAGCAAATACTGCTGAGAAGGGGGATGCTGAGCATTTTGTTTCTGGAGTGAAGGAAAAGAATATCTTATTCAGGCTCCTAGTCAGTATTTTACTGATACAGACAAAAGGAAAAAATGCATACTAGGTAATGTCTGAGGTTGTCTTATGCAGGCTTAATTATCAAACCCTGTAGCAATGGCCTTTAAAACAAAATGTAAAATACTGCTTGCTAAGTGCCACCCTTAATTTCACACATTTTCTTTGCTCTATATTGTTCCTAGTTGTTCAAGGCAACAGCTCCTTTTTTAAGATGTAATCATAATTTGCTGATGGATCTTGCTTCAGTAAGCTTGACAGACTAAAATCTTCCAATCCTTCCTTGGGCAAAGGATTTCAACTAGAGTTTATCAAAATGCATCTAAAGAAAGTGGGTGAAATTCACCCCTATTAGAGAGCCAGAATAAGTATCATCTTGAAGGTTTAAACAGGATTTAAATAGTTCATAGGCCTTGCGGTAGTCCCCTGCATCAGGCTGACCTTCAGCCCATCTTCTTTAATGTAGCATATTTAGCTTACTTTACTCTCTCCTATTAATTTTGTAGTGCTTCAATTTTGCTAGTACGTATTGATCGCAACCTACAAGGTCCTGACAATTCATTACTTCTACAAAAACAAAAAACCAAATAAAACGAAAAGCAACTTTAGTGCAAAAGTCTAAAAGGAAAAGACTCATAGTAGAGTAAGCAACAGTACCTCATACAGAGGAAAAAGGGGAAAAACAAAAGAGAAAAACTTCAGTGATGGCTAATAGGAACATCTACAGTTTTAAAATAATTAAACTATATAACTGGGATCACACTTATTGTGTTCATTATAGAACTTTTAGCAAATGGGAGTATAAAGCCTTTAAGAAAGACATTAAAATCAGAATTTAAGATACAGGAAAGTATTATTTCAATAAAAGCAATGTTTTAAAGCCACTGAAATATTTCACTTTGAGAAACAGCAACAAACCTTATGCCACAGCAGATTTGAGAAATAGATAAAATACAAAATTATCTTTGGAATGATATAAGAAGTTGTAGAAAAAATATTCATACAAAGCACTGAGTAGTTTCAAATGATCAAACTTTATTTTAATAGAGACTACAAAAATATCAGAAATTTTCTTCAGATTTAACAAGTAGCCTTTTGGGATAATACAAGATCTACTTCTCAGACCTATTACAGTTCATTTCTCTAATAGCTACAAGGTATGAATAGCAGAATTGTAAAAAATACACCCAAAAGATTTTTATACTTTCCCACTATAAAAGCAACATCAATCACAACTGAAAATTAAATTGCATGTTTAATCTCTAGAACTCAATGCCTTTGGTCCCAGGGACAGCCTTCCTGGATCTTTTTCACCAACTCCTCCAAACTCCACTGAAAGAATAGCACACTTTTCTTATTTCTCCATTTCCCTCCCTCTGCTAGTATTCATTTCTCCCTGCTTTATTCATTTTTACAAAACACTTTGGATATAGCAGATATGAAAGACACTGCTTACAAAAAAAAGTTTTTTTCTTGAGAATCTGATCCAGACCCTAATGATACCAATGAAAGTTTTCCACTGGACTTTTAGATCAGGTACTATCTGAAAATGTGTGCAATATATTTTCAACTAAAAGTATTAAAATGTATATTCTACAATACATATCATTCTATTTTCTGCCGTACCTACCTGTAAAAGTTAAAAAAATATTAGAAGTGTCCTTTAAAAAACCGCATATACACAACCAATTTCTACTTGTGCAGAACAGTAGTAAACAGAGTTTTATGAGTTCTATCACAACCATATAAAATGCTTTACTGAAAAGACCACTGAGCTGGAAAAACTCAGGAAAAATTACCCTGAATTCCATGTGAACGCTCATAAATCTGCTCCCCTTTGCCATAGCACATTTACCATAAAACTCATGTTCTACATCAGATTTCCTTTCTATTTCATAGCAATTCTCAATATTGTACACCATCCAAAAAGGTACAGACTGAAAATCTCAACTTTTGTCTGAGATGTATAATATTACTGCACAGGCAGTAGGTTTGAGTTTCAGGCTCAAAATGTAATTTGCAAAAAAATATTATTTATTACCCTGCTTAAAGGTAATAAAGAGCAAAATATAAAAAAAACCAAGAAAAGATATAAGGCAAGACAATCACTTGGCATTTGTAAGTAAATGACTCAAATACTGCGTTTTCTTTTACGGAAAAAAACCCCTTTGTTTAGGGGAAGATATTATCGTCACTATCACTTGTAAATCCAAACTTCACTGTTTAACAGATGAACAGAAAGTCACTCCTACCTGGGAAAGACCAAGATGTACAGATGCTGTTTCTGAGATATACATTATTTTTCCATCAGCTGCTACCACAAAAACAAAGCCATCCAATGTCTGCAAAATAAATAAATTAATTAATTAATTAATAAAGATCTCCCTGTAGATAGTGCAAGCTAAATATTTTAAGGTGTTTTGGAAGAAAGATTTTATCCCACTGTCCCAGAGCAGAAAATACATTATTCAAAGTACAACTTTAACTCATGGTTTCCCTGTGAAGACTATCACATACAAATTTGTGAAATCTAATTCAATCTCTACTTGCAGATGCTAGCTTTACTGCTTTACTTTAAGATAACATTCTCCTGTTGATTCTGGTTATTTTAGTACTTAGCACAAATCCTGAGTTATGTGGTACTTAGGGGAAAATCCATGAGTATACAGGTCATTTTTTACGGTGTAATTGGCAGAAAGGGCTTACCGCTATTTGCAATATATTTAATGATACCTTAAGCAACGTTTTAAATTCTTTTGACTATCTTTTATTGATGCTTTTGTGAACAAAGGATTGCCTGCTATGTAATTATCTTGAACTTACAAGGGATGAAACAGTCCGTGAAAATTTCAGGAAAAACAAACCAACCAACATGAGACTCTTAATCAAACTGAAAATGACACGTATAGTCGCTCATCTGTAATACTGCAATCTAGAAATCTTAACTAGTTGGAACAGTTTATGCAAACTTATATTCCAACCCAAATTCTTACATGAAGTAAGAAACAAGTATTACTCATGCAAGTAAAAGCTTGGAGGCTTTACTTGTATATAGGTATCTCAGAGAAGAAAAACTGATAGGATAGAAATGAAAACTACAAAGCTGGACACAATGCAACTAATGAATGAGTGCCTTGATTTTTGGGTGGTCAGATTCAGACACTTTTAATGCGGCTTATTTTTTCCTAGCCAGATTCAAGAAAAACGGAAGTATTTCATATCACTAATCACCCTTTAAAAGGTTAAAACACATACATATGAGTCTCACTGAAAAAAAAGATATAATGTGGAAAGAGGAAGCTGATTTTTAAAAGTACAAAGATAAAACAAGTGGGATTTTTTCTATTTGCTAATTTATATTGTATAATACTGAACCAAGAGGAAAGCAATAAAATCCTGTATGCACCACTCTTACAATGCTACCCCAATAAAAAAAAATCTAAATTATTCTTTGGCCTTCTAACTATTTTATAGCATGTAATTGAAACCAGATTACGTTTACCTATGCTTTTTTACCTTTTTGTGTAACAAACAAAACCTTGTTGAGATATTTAAATGGCAAAGAAATCAATGTGTCCTAAAACATAGTTTTGCTGTAATATTCATTGTAAACTGGCAAATGCTTCTCCATACTGTACTTAAATTGTGATAGTACTTTAATTAAAAACCCATCTTCTTAGGGTTTTCTAGCACAACTACAAAAATATTTTAAAGTTGAAAGTAAGGGCTATTTTAAAAACTTAGTTTTCACTAAGTGCTGATTTTATAAAAATGTTAAGTATTCATAGTCAGAAATAACTATTTTTAAAAATAATTTTACAACTAATTAGCATATACCATTACTTAACTGTTTTGGCACCATACAAAATACAGAAAGGCTAAGATTAGGTGGCTAGTGTACAAGCAAATATTGTATTATAAAGCTGCACATGAAATTTCTGAGGTAAACCAGTGGTTCCAAAATAGGTGATCCCATACTTGAAATAATTTAAAATAAAATTTAAAATGCATATTTAGCAGCTCATTGGGAATACCTCCAGGAGCACCACTACCCACCCTTGCCAAAATACATTTATTAGAGCAGTGCTACGTTGCTGCAAACCATTAATGAAAGATCTCTTCTCTTTCTAGAAAAGGGCGTTTTCTAAAGTTGACTTATAATAACAAGGGTGCTATGACAGAAAGGGAAAAATAAAATCACTCTTTCATCTCAAGCCTCAGCTGAGCCCGCTTAGTTTCTGAGTAACCTGTTTCCCCTTTTTTTCCTCCATTATTAACCTCTGTTGTTTTATTTATCTTACAAAACCAACAGAGACGGGACTAATGAAACCCGGCATCTTGTATCTGTCCAAACCAAGGGGGAGGAGGGGCGGCAGAGTTTTACCGGGATCAGTCCCTAAGGTTGGATTTAGGGACTAATCGTCCCTTAAAAAAATCGTCAAAATGTATCACTCGCCTCCCTCCTGTGTCTCGTCTTCCGAGCAGCAAAGACATGAAGCCGTACAACCATTTACACTCAATTGCAATTACACCCAATCGTCCTCGGGTATTGGATCAATTTGGGAGCGTTTTCGAAGGACCGTCTCCAAGGGAAGCACACACCAGTGCCTAACACAATCGGACTGAGGCTTCAAGTGCCGCGGTGCAAATAGCCGCAAATAGCCGCTACAGAGCAGCCTGGAAAGGAGAGCGCCAAAGGCAACTCTGACATGCATCTCCCCACGGAGATGCGGACTAGATGATCGAGAAAAGTTTTGCAAACCGCTTTGCAGTCTTCACACATCCGAGGGGGATTTGCTTTTTAATCTCCAGCCCAGGGAACAATTGGGAAGGGGGGGGCACAAAACAGCTCTCTGACCAGAAATGAACCTTCCCCCGTAAAACCAACATTATATGATCACCGTTTACTAAGTCTTTATAATCGGGGAACGGCACAAAATCGCCATATTTTTGTTTTTTTAGATGCAATCGTTTCTGTTTGACTGCCCCCCGGGGCAGAGCCCAGCCCGGGCCCGGCACAGTCACACCTGGATGCCCAAGTGCGAGGGCGCAGGAGCCGGGATCCACATGTGGGCGCCGCCCGCTCTCCCTGCTGCGGGGAGCTCTGCCTCCCGCCCTGCCCGCACCTACCTACCCCGGGGGACCCTCGGCTGCCCGTGTCGCTGAAACATCTCCCCTCCCCCCATCCCCGCGCCTACCTGCAGCAGGTGCGAGCCCAGCTCCTTGGCCACGTTGTCCAGGGGCCCGATCCTACTGGGCTGGCCCCAGGCGTCCCCCAGCCCTGCAAAGCAAGCGGCAGGGGTGAGGCCGGGCGGCAAGCGGAACCCATCTCCCCTGCGGCCGCGGGCCCCGAGCCCGCACCAGCCCCCCGCTCCGGGCCTGTGCGCTCGGGGCAGCCGGCGGGAGGCTGCGCCGGGCGCGACGCGTGTCCACGGG